AGGCCAGCCCAGCCCTAACCCACGACAGTATTTTTAAAGTTTTCTTTAACTCCAACAAAAAGATAGGCAAAGAGTATAGAAGAAAGTTAACAAGACTGCTCACTCTCCCCACCATCTGCCTGAATTAAGTATCTTTTTCAGCTACCCTAAATGACAGAAACTGGGTTATTTCAGTCCCAACTGCTCCTACCCAGAATCTTCTTGAAAGTACAAGGTAAGTACAAGAAATTTGGCTTAAAGTGCAACTAATTTACAAGAAAAAAGATTAGTTTAACCAGAATATACAACTAAAAATCCCATTTGGAAGTTCCTGATTTTTGAATATCTTTAAACTGAACTTAAAGAACACAATCAGCAAACACTAGTCATCTTGACTTTTTTACGAAGATGAGCTATTAAGGGATAAATCATTAATGTCTCCATCCATCACAGTCTAAGGCAAATATTTTCTGTTTACTAAAAGTTCTATCAACAAAGGAATTCAGTACCACTTTACCTTTTTAAGCTAAAACCACATAGATATATTAAACTCTGTACTTAATGACTAATTTTTGTGGATATCATCATCATAATTAAATTAATTAATTAAAACATTAATTCAAGAACACCATCATTGCCAGAAAGTAATCTCATATCTAATTTTTATACCTCTTTAGTATCTTACTTCCAGGTTTTAAAGACACCTAATAAAGTCAATTAGGTATTGCCAAGGATCTGAAACTTAAAATTTTTTACAGAATAACACTCTTAATTTTTCAGATGTTACTGCTAGAAGTCTTTCTGACACTTTGAGTCCAGACTTCTACCTAGATTGTGACCCCAAGCTCAAAAGAGCCGTCTATAATAAAAATCTTTTCCATCCTATCTGACTTAAAGTAAATAAAGTATTTCTAAAAAAGGAAAAAAATTAAGTAGAGCTAGCTTACAAGCATAATTTCTACTTGTGACAGCCAATATCCTCTGATAACACAGAGAATACGGAATCAGTTCGTCACTCCCATGCAACTATTCAATTGCTGAAATAACAAACACAAGGTTTAGCAACCAAAACCCACCTGTCCATGCAGCCTGCTTCAAATCACAGGCTGACAGAGTACAAAGGCTTTAGATAACACGAAATAAAACCTACCTGC